GATCACATCCTTAGTTAGCCCTCTGTGTTTATGGGGATCTAAACCTAGATCATCCATAGTACTTGCTTTTGTGCAGCTTCCCCCTCCCCCCTTCTTTATATGGAAAGTAACATGCAGCCTTAAAATATGAACAAAAATAATGAATCCAAGGATCACAAGGTGGGTATGTTTTACATCTGCACTGTTAATAGTTCTTGTTCAGTTGGGTTCACTGTCATGTCACCTTTATGAGGCTTTCCCTACAATTTGTCCATTCCTTTTAGATTTACTTCTTGAATTAGAGCCCTGTTGAAAAAAACCTCTGATCTGCCTAAAGACTGTTACCAGGAATAGGTCTGTATTAACTCAGTCAAATTGGGCTTGACTGAGAAAAGGTTGACTCTGTGGGGATTTTAAGTATGATACTTTGCAGAAAAAAATGTTTTCCTTTATGATGGGACTGTCGTCACTCTACCATCTTGGGCTGCGCAGGTGTGTGTACTGCTGAGTCTATTTTATGCATTGTGGTGTGCATGTGACAGAATGGTGGGCTGGGGGTGGAGCACTTCATACAGGGGCTGACAATATACTCATCTGTTGCATCCTAAACTAAGTGATGAGCCCTCAAAGGCAAAAGCAGCATCTTTCATTGTCTTTCATTTTCCCTTAACACTTAGTAGAGTTTAGCATAAACAGGAGATGCTTAATAAAACCAGCTTTGGAGCTCAAACAAGAGATTTGGTTTGGTTTCCTGTGGCTGGTGGAGAATATCAGAGGCCAGTACTCTTATTTTATTTGTAAGTTTTTGTTTAAATTTCAGTTAACATACAGTGTAATGTTAGTTTCAGGTGTACAGTATCGTGATTCACCATTTCTATACAATACCCAGTGCTCATCACAACAAATGTACTACTTCATCGAGGCCAGTACTTTTATAAATTTTAAAAACAAATTTTTTAATGTTTATGTTTGAGAGAGAGAGAGAGGGAGAGAGAGAGCGCGCACCAGAGTGTGAGCGGGGGAGAGGCAGAGGGAGACATAGAATCAGGAGCAGGCTCTAGGCTCTGAGTTGTTAACACAGAACCCGATGCAGGGCCTGAACCCATGAACCATGAGATCATGACCCGAACCAAAGTTGGACACTCAACTGACTGAACCATGCAGGCACCCCAGTACATTTATAAATGAAAAAAAATTTTTTTTAAGTTTATTTTTGAGCGAGAGAGACACAGACAGAGTGTGAGCGGGGGAGAGGCAGAGGGAGACACAGAACTGGAAACAGGCTCCAGGCTCTAAGTTGTCAGCACAGAGTCCGATGTGGGCCTGAACCCACAAACCGTGAGATCATGACCTGAGCCAAAGTCAGACACTCAGCCAACTGAGCCATCCAGACACCCCAGTACTTTCATAAATTTTTAAAAAGTGTTTTGAAAGAGAGAGAGAGACTAAGTGGGGGAAGGGCAGAGAGAGAGGGACAGAATCTCAAGCAGGCTCTGCACTGTCAGCGCAGAGCCCAACATGGGGCTCAAACCCACAAACCATGAGATCATGACCTGAGCTGAAATCAAGAGTCAGATGCTTAACTGACTGAACCACCCAAGTACCCCAAGGCCAGTACTTTCAGATTGCTTACCTTGTCCCGGTGTCCTTGTTGTGGTTAAGTGGATCCAAGAAATTGTTATTTTTAACTCTTTTGGTATTTTAGCATCAACCAGTTAAACGGATCTATTAAAACCAGCTACACAGGGACAGTTTTTTTTGGGCATTCTATCAATATTGTACATTGGAGCTGAATTTCAGACTGTCCAAAAAGAAAAAAGTAACTCAGTTGATATTTAAGGCAAATGAGCCAAATCTCTACCTACATAGGTAGTCAAATACCACAAAAAGTGCATGTTGGAGAGTAGGTTAACGTACATGCGAACCCATGGCACAGCCCCTAACACCAAGCCTTAGAGATTCAATGTGATCCTAAATTATTTACAAATATTTTGTATTTACAGAGGTAAAGAGTTGTGACGTTTATCGGGGTGCATTTACTTAATGGAGAAAATTCTTTCAGAATAACAATTCCAAAATAAATAGAGCAAGATTTCCTATTAAAACAAATCTTCACTTTTCTGATATGTGATAGAGGATAAAGATTTAAAAAGAAAACTGCTTACCAAGTGCGTGGACCCGTGTGTTCTGAAAAAGATGCCTAGATGCTGCTGTTCTTAGCAAACTGAACCTTAGTCCTGCTTGGAGAAATAATTACTGGGAGTGGGGTAGATGATGCCTGTATGGACCCAGTGCTGTCAGGATGACTGATATGAACGTTTGACAAAGAACTTGCCAGCACAGATGGCTGTAGGCAGTAGCTTTTTCATATGATAACCCGACAGATTGTCCATGAGTTGTAACTTGTAAAATGACACTGCCCTGCATCTCTGTGAGGACACTTAAAGTCTCGTCTCTTGATTTTTACTTGCTGTGTGGTTGTAGTTTCTTTGGGCTTGAGTTTTCTTAGCTGTATCAGGGAAGATTGGAATAAATGATAGCGTGGATCTCTCTCAGCTTTCAGTGCTGATTGTTTTGGTTAGTGGTTGTACTGGTGATTTTTAAAAAACACAGTGATGCAGTGATTTTAAACACAACAGGTTCAAATGTTGTCTTTAATTCTTTAGTTTTCTATAAACCCAAAACGGGAGAAAAATAAATTGTAGATCAAGTGCCATATATTTTAGAAAAGAGCTAATCTCTATTTTTTAAACACAGAATATCAACAAATCAGATACACGTTTTTACTTATTGACATATTTTTAAGCTCCTTAAGTATTGATAAGTATTTATGTACTGTTTACATTAAATACGTTTTAAATATTGATCCAGAATGTGTATTTGAGATTACCTACCTACTACAATGAATAGAAGCCTTTTGTGTTAACTTTGTAATTAGAATATTATAATTAATCTGTTTTTGCTAGTTTCTACCAATACAAGTAACGACAAAGACATATTCAGTCGTTAGAGTTCTATTACAATCCTGAAGCTGAAGAACTGGATCAATAAGTAAAAGGAAGGAACTTGCTATGTTGCTTTACATCTCTTAGGAAACACCATTATTGGTGTATGTTTGGTCTACTTGGCAGAACCATTAAAATGTATATGGAAGTGATACAGAAACACACACTGACCTGTCCATCATCCTTAAAGAGTCCCTTGCTTTGGCCAGTGAATCTCCTGTAGTCATTGCTGCACGTAAATATAATTTAGTAAAGGATGTTTGATTCCCTTGAAAGTCACCTTTTTTCTTTTTCCAACTTAATCACAGATAACTTCATTGTGCTCTGGTAGCCACTGCATTCAATTAAAAATGCCAACCGTCTCTCTCATCAGCTATGATATACTTGACAGGTGACACCAATAAAGAAATGCAAAACAGGTTAAAATAAATTCAGAAAGAGGAGGGGAAAGAATTTCTGAAAGAGACCAGGAAGACCACAGACATTTGGGTCAGGTTGGCTGCATGGCTGTTATTTAAAGAGACACCAATGTCTGTGAGACCTCCATAAAGTGTGTTAGCAGACATGCTCAGGCTGGGGCTATGGTGAAGGGACACATTTTGCAAGTGTATTTTAGAGGTTGAAAGTGTCCTTACTATCACGCGAGTCTGAATTTGTTTCCTTAGCTTTGTTTTTGCATTCAGAAGTGAATTGTTAGGCCAACTTCCATGCTGCATTTTTATTTCTAAGTGTGAATAAAGCAGGAAAGCCCTTGAGTAAAGCATTCTTCTTAAGACTTCCAACAGCAAACTATTTTATCCATTCAGGTATACGGAGGCAAGTTGACGTATTGAAGTGCTTTTCACCAATTTATTTGGCTCATTAGTAGGCTTATGTGAAAAAAAAAAAATCGTCCTCTGTTTGATAGTTTTTGAATAGAAAGTGACTTAAAAGGGCTGCTCAGCTGGATAGCTTCAGACAGACCTGCCGGTTCAGTGTTCAACTCATAGCCTGCACCTGTGGGACTTTTGAAAGCAGTTAACGTTAATCATAACTTCCTTTAAATGTTTTAATTAGTTCAGGAAGAAGGAAGGCCTCGGGCTGATGTTTTATAGATCATTTCTGTCATTGACTCTATGGGAGAGTAGTTGACAATTTTTGAAATTGGCTTTTATGTTGGTCTTGGAGTTGCAGAGAAAGCTGTATTTGGGGGCACTGACTAAAAGCTCACATTGACGCTCTTGGCGTTGTTAACTTGTCTGCTAGCACTGTGTTTACCTTGCCACTTCTTTACTACCTGCAGCCTCTGCTGAATCTCTAGACAGGGGAACTGAGGCTTAGCAATGTAGGATCTCTAGAATGAGTTTTAACATTGAAACCTCTTCACCGTGTGACATGCCAACATATTTCCATGTAAGCTTCAGCTTCCATACCGGGCTTTGGGTGAGGGATCAGGCTGTCGAGGCATTTGTATACTGTTAAGGTCTTGGGTACAGTTAAAGTCTAACATCACAAGCTGATATCAAAGCTGGTAATGTGTGACCTTGCCTAGCCTTAAACTCCTGTAACAGGGACTCCTGAGAGCAGTAATGGGAAGGTGCAGTTAAACTGGGGGCAGATGACTGGCAGTCTAGGTGGTATAAGCTAAGGCTTCACCCCTTCGCTTGTTTGCAAATGCAGTCTGCATGCATGCTGTTTGAGATCAGCTCTGCGAATCTAGCTTGGCTTCCTGATTGGGAGCCTGGGGTTGTTGGCGGATCTCCTGTGCAATCTGATGTGCTATATGCTGTGAGTGAAGTTGAGTTTCATTGTCCATGGTATCTGGCTTGATGCGATGGTGACCAGTACACAGAAAAGTGTAGGCTTTGCAGTCCCCGGAAATAGCTTTGTGGTGATGGATTTGTGGTGGTGGTTTCAGCCTGTAATCCTCACTTAGGTGCAGATAAAGATAGAGAACGCTTTCCATTTTTTAAGTGGCTGTGTCTGTGCTAAGAAGGTAACCTGTAGTTTCATGGAAGTTTCCCTTTTTATTTGTAGATATAATACTTTGCCAAGCAGAAGAACCCTGAAAAATTCAAGATTAGTGAGTAAGAAAGACGACGTGCATGTCTGTATCATGTGTTTACGTGCCATCATGAATTACCAGGTATGTTTGTGTTCTGATTCTTTAAAAAATCTGAAAAATCTGTCAGATTCAGATCTTGTCCTCTCTGGTTTCTTTGTATTTCTCTTTGAAATAAATGTCAGGATTTAATGCAATTCAACTTAAAAAAGGGTCTGGTTCATTTTAATGCTCAAGATTTAACTCACTGCCTTTATATTTTAGTTAGCATTTATCCTTTATGATGTACTTGGAGGGAAGATGTTTTCCTCCTACGGTCATAAACTTGTTTAGATGAGTTGGTGAATGTTTGTGACCACTTATGACAGAATAAGCCGCTGATTGTGGGCAATAATGGACCAACTTTAGAATGTTAGGAGTGAGGGATGCTTGGGTGGCTCAGTCAGTTGAGCATCCAACTCTTGATTTCGGCTCAGGTCACGAAATCATGGTTTGTGGGTTTGAGCCCCACATAAGGCTGTGCGCTGACAGTGCAGAGCCTGCTTGGGGTTCTCTCTCCCTCTTCCCTTCCTCTGCTTGTGTGTGCATGTACTCTCTCTCTGTCTCTTTCTCTCCAAATAAATAAATACACATAAAAAATTTAAAAAAAAAAAACATTAGGAGTGAATAGACTCTTAACATTGGTCAGTGGTCCTCAAAGGGTTATATGGTAAAAAGGTGAGAAGTTGCAGTTACTGTCTGTTGGGCTTAGTGGTTCTTAATCTTTAGAAGAAGTACCTGGAGGATTCTTGTTGAAAGGGCAGATCCTCCTCCAGGTGATGGTGATGCAAGTTATCCCCAACATAACAGGGAGAGAGACAGCTTAACGTGTGAATTGGATTAACTTTAACAAAGTAGAAGTTGGCGCCCGATAGGGTTTAAGTTAGGTAAGTGGAACCAGGAGTAAGAATCAGAGAAACGTAATTCAAATATAAAAATAGGATTTGATATCCATGGGTAGGGATGCTAAAGGTGGGTCTAGGCAGAAGTGGAAGGTAAACATGTAGGTCGAAGGTATCAGAATTCAAGCCCAACATAAGGGTGCTGAATTGAAGAGGGAGAACGTGCATTTTATTTTTTCTGTCAGTCAATATTTTTTGAGCATTGCCAGAGAAACCCTCTTCTGGGCAGAGGGAATAAATGCCCCAGGGAACTTACTTTCTAATGAAAGGGGTGACAGGTGATAAATGGTAAAACACGCAGTGTTGGAAATAATAGTAATGATGATGAGATGAAACGAAAGCTCACACTTAGAGTGTTTCCTAAGAGGACCAGTGCTTTTAAGCCTGGTACTTAATCTAAAGCTTATAACAGTCCTATGACAGTAGTAATACTACTATCCCCATTTTACTGATAAGGAAACTGAGACACAGAGAAATTAAGTTTTACTTAATTAGCCAGCAAGTGGTAGAATCAGATTTAAATCCAGGGAGACGGGCTCCAGAGCAATGTTACTAATACTGTGAAAAAACTAGTCAGGAAATAAGAATGGGAAGTGATGAAAGTGTGTGTTCAGTTTTAATGAGGCCAACTGGGAAAGTGTCCTGGAGAAGTAGCAATTTTTCACAGTAGCAGTTTGAAGAAGGAAACAAGGTGAGAGATTTTAGGGAAAGAAGATTTAGGTAGCAAAAAGGATGACTGCAAAGGCCATGGGGCAGGAATAAGCCTGATGTGCTCGAAGCCCAAGAAGGAGGCCAGGTTGGCTGCATCTGAATATCGAAGCCCAAGAAGGAGGCCAGATTGGCTGCATCAGAATAAGTAAGAAGGAGAATAGAGGTAGATGAAATCTGAAGTTAACATGGGGTCCTGACTGTGGAGGGCTTTATAAGCCAGTGAAAGGATACAGTCTTTACTGTGAGTGGAAAGCTATTGAACAGTTCTGAGGGAAAATGTGACATGATCTGATACTTGATTTTAGCATGGCATTCTAGCTTCTGTGTTTAGGATTGACCTTGGGGGCCAAAGACGAAAGGAGGTAGACCATTTAGAAGGTTGCTGCATTAGTTTTAGGTGAGTGTTGATGGTGGTATGGGCCAGGATTATAGGAGCAAAGATGATGACAGGTGGCCGGATTCTGGTTTTCTTTTCATGGTAACGTCAACTTGGATATGTGGTAAGGAGTGGAGGGTGGCCTTGAAGTGTTTGTCTTGGGCCCTTACTAAGATGGGGGAGGCTACAGGATTTGGGAGACTAGATTAAGAACGAAGTTTCAGGGATGTTACCTTTAAGATGTCTGTAGTCGGGGCACTTGGGTGGCTCAGTCGGTTAAGTGTCCAACTTTGGCTCAGGTCATGATCTTGTGGTTCTTGAGTTCAAGCCTCTTGTCAGGCTCTGTGCTGACAGCTCAGAGCCTGGATCCCACTTCAGATTCTGTGTCTCCCTCTCTCTCTGTTCCTCCCCAACTCATGCTCTGTCTCGCTATCTCTCAAAAGTAAATAAAGAATAATAATAATAAAAATGTCTGTAGTCATCCACATAGAGATCTTAAGTAAGTGGTTGGATATGTCAATCTGGAATTCAAGGCAGAAGTCTGAGCTGGAGTTAAAAATTTGGGATTTAATTGATGGTGTTTAAAGCCAGGGGAGTGCATGAGATCAACAGGGGTAGATAGAGAAGCAAAGAGATCCAAAATATGAACCCTGAGGCATTCTGTTTAAATGTCAGAGACATGAGGAAAAACTAGAGAGACTGAGGAGTAGACAGGGAGGTAGGAGCCAAGTAGAGGAAGTTTGAAGGAGAAAAGAGTGCTCAGCTGTGACTAATGCTGCTACTGTGTCAAGATGAGGCCTGAGAATTGGCCATGGGCTTGGCAAAGTGTGGGTCATTGGCATTTCTGGGATGAACAGTTTCATTGGAGAGGTGGGGATGATATGCCTGATTAAAGTGATTGCAGGGTGCCTGGGTGCCTCAGTTGGTAAGTGTCCAACTTAGGTTTAGGTTATGATCTTGTGATTTGTGGGTTCCAACCCCACATCGAGCTCCACGCTGACAGTGTGGAGCTTGCTTGGGATTCTCTCTCCCTCCCTCTCTATCTGCCCCTCCCACTCTCTCTCTCTCTCTCTCTCTCAAAATAAATACATAAAAACTTAAAGTGATTGCAAGAGACGTCAGTAGGAGGAGACCATGAGTGCTTGGAGTTATGCCATCATGTTAGCAGAGAAACAAGGCAGCAGGTAGACACAGGTTGTAGGGTCAAGAGGGATTTTGCTGTTGTTACCATTTAAATTGAGTTTTTATGCTAAGGAATCAGGGAGAAATAATGATGAGGGCTGGGAGAATTGCTGGAGCCTAGGCTCTTCTTGGGAAGGGTATCAAAGACTTACCTGGAGGGAGTGGCCTTGGATTGGAGCCCAGGAGGGTTCCTCTTCAGGAAAAGGTGAGGGGCAAGTGGTGGATCTGTGGGTGGATGGATATTGGGTTGGGAGCTTTTAGAAGATTTTTTTTTTCTGATGCCTTATATTTTCTCTGGGTAATGAGAAATAAAGTCACGAACTGAGAGGGAGCTTGGAGGAGAAGGAATGATTCCTCAAATCAGCAGAACCAAGAGTGATTCTGGAGCCTGTTGTTGAACTTGTTACTTCCTTTAATTAACATGCCTCAGGATAAGACAGGTCTTCCTAGGCTTTGGTCCTGATAGCCATTGCCCAGAGAAGGGATGAGAAGCAGTGGTTGTCAATCCTGACCGCATAGAGAAGTCAGCTTAAAAAATGTTCAGATCCTTGAGATTCAAAGTATATTGCATTGGTGGTTCAGTGGTAAAATTCTTGCCTGCCAAAGTATATTGACCTGAGGTGTATCCTGGAAAATCAGTGTTATGTTTTTTTGCTTTATTTTGTTTTGTTTTTTACTCTTCCTCTTCCACATGATCTTGATGAGCAGCCAGATTGAGAATCACTGGACTGGAGCCTTTTCAGCATTTTAATAAAGGGAAACACATAGTTCAGTCATAAAGAATGAGAATATGGTCTCTTGATAATAGCATGATTCCTAAAATTTTTCATAGAGAAATACATTCAGGCACTGTTGTGCTAGAAACATAAATGCATTTGTGATGCTATAAATTACCTTAGGTAGAATTTTCAAGTTCTCCTTATTTTTTTTAAATCACTATGGACAGTTCCCCCTAAGCTGACTCTCTCTAATGCTCTATTTCACATTAATTTCAGTATGGTTTCAACATGGTCATGTCTCATCCACATGCTGTCAATGAGATCGCACTGAGCTTGAACAACAAGAATCCAAGGTAAGCTTACTTTGTAATTGTTCAAGTATAAATCTACCTAACGGAAGCAGAGGGCTGGTCAACATCTAGCCAGGTTAGAGTTTGGAAACTTTCAAATGTACCTCTTTGGATTAAGATTGCCAGTACACTCCTTGGCTGTGTAGAATTTTCTTCTCAGCGAAGTTACAGTTGTACATGTGGTGGAGTTGAGCACCTGGAGACATTACCCCTTCACTGTTCTCTTCAAGCTTTCACTTCTTTCTAGCCCCGGTTTTTAGCATCCTTGCAAATTTCGCCAGATCTGGTAGAGAGCATGAGTTTGCCTGGTTGTTAGAACTAGGGCCAGGAGAGACTCCATACAGACTTAGCTACACCACTTACTGCTGAAAGCTAACTGCAACCACTCTTCCTTGTCTACACTTTACTTGGCAGCCTTTACATATGTAGTTTTTATTACCAGACAAAAAAAGAAACACAAAACAAAAATAATTGTGCACGTGGATTGCTTCTTCTACTCCCTTGCCTCTAAAAGCCAGTGCCATATTATTCACATCCCATATTATCCCTAGAAGCCTGTTTTCATCAGTTTATTTTAGTTACTATAATGTGTTTTCCATTTTGGTGAGGGATTCCGCATTTCACAAGTCTTACTCCCTTCACCAGATACCTCTGCATGGACCATATATCGCAACACTGGTTAATGCCACCAAAAATTCTGATTTCTTTTTTATTTTTTTTATTTTTTTTAAAGAAAAATTTTTTTTTTAACGTTTATTTATTTTTTTTTGGGACAGAGAGAGACAGAGCATGAACGGGGGAGGGGCAGAGAGAGAGGGAGACACAGAATCGGAAACAGGCTCCAGGCTCTGAGCCATCAGCCCAGAGCCCGACGCGGGGCTCGAACTCACGGACCGCGAGATCGTGACCTGGCTGAAGTCGGACGCTTAACCGACTGCGCCACCCAGGCGCCCCCAAAAATTCTGATTTCAAATGAGATCCTTTCTGACATGGAATGAATTGCAAACTGTAAAGTCCTATTTAAATGTTGACTATTATTTCAAACTTCCCATAATAGTTTTTGCAAATTTACAATTGCTTCCTAAGTTTATTAGGAAATCTGGGTTTTCTTGCTTCTTTGTCCCTGCCAACTATTACAGGGAAGCTGTTATTCATTTTTCTTAAAGTAATTGACATTGTGGGTATCAGGCCGGTCTTTATTTAGTGGTTGGCAATAGCTTTTTTCCAGAAAAAAAAAAAAAAAATACAGAAGTGATCTTACGAAAAAAACAATGCTCTTCTTGATGTTGTATTTGACAACTTAGACTGTATTGCCAAGGGTTTCTTTCTAAAAATACTTCAGATAGCATTTTATTTTTTTTCTTTAGTCAGAGAAAATGTTCTTGTATTAGCACCGCTGTAATCCAGCTCCTTTCAGATCTCCTACATATAAAGAAGTGGTGACAAAAACTTGCATTGTCACAGGGGATCTTTATGGCGCCATCTGTCAATTAGCAGATTTGAAATAATAGGACATTAATTTCAGTACATTTTGAATTTGGGGGGCAAGTGTTACTTCTCTGACTCTAAAACCAGAGAAGGTATTTAACCAATGGGTTGTTTTTCTGAATATTCTCAAGTTCCCAATTGTCTTTAGCTTATCAATAAAACTTTTTCAAACATGTCATACTGAGTCACCCACTGATAGAAGTGAAAGACTAATCTTCCCAGAATTAATTTTCATTATTGAGTCATTTTAATTCGAATGTTGGGAGTGGGAAACATTCCTTCCAACTTTGGTACCTCAGATGAATCACATACATAGAAGTTAGTAAAAGTTTAAAAATGTACTTTAATATAAATATACCTTAGTAAAAGTTTAAGAAACATACATGAACAAATTATTTTATTATCATAGCCATTTTGGAAGGAAAGGAGAGTTGATTCATCATGTTACTTCACTGATTTTTTTATTTTTTATTTTTTTGCTTGTTTCTTCTTGTTTCGACAGAACAAAAGCCCTTGTCTTAGAACTGTTGGCAGCTGTTTGTCTTGTCAGAGGCGGGCATGAAATCATTTTATCAGCATTTGACAACTTTAAGGAGGTAGGATACTTTGGAGTTCGCTCACACAAACATATTTGGACATCTTTGAACAGAATGATTTACATTTTCTGTGTGTATGTTTTATTGTGAGATATAATTGCATATATTAGTTTCAGGTGTACAATATTTGTATATGTTGTGAAATGATCACCACAATAAGTGGTGATCACCATGGTTTACCTTTTTATTTATTTTGGGGCCTACGGGGTAGACTAGTTAATTTTCTAAGACGTCACTGAGGGAGAAGTAGTGAACTTAGTCTAAATATCTTAAATGGATGCATTAAACTTTCTTTGATGTCTCATTTCCAAGAAAAGTTAAAAACTATTTGCAGGATCTATTTCCATTTGGAGAACATGGAATTGCCAGTTTGCAAACAGTTTGCAAACATGTTTTGTTAAACGTCTGTGGTTTTCATTATGGTTGATACTTGGGCACCCACCGTGTACATTTTATGAACTCTTCAATCGTAGCTATTTTCCCCAAATCACATACATTATCATTGCCGTGCTGAATGCCACCAGAAACCTCTCAAATAAATACACACACTGATTTTAGCAGTTTGTAATCTTAACCAGGTGATCCTTTGCTAGGCAAATGGTAAACCCTAGGACTTGCATGGTTGAAAATGGAAACTAAAAGGGCTACAGAAGAAACAGTTGCACACAGATAATATGATACCAAGGATTGTGGCCCACGGTATCAAGACATCGTGACTGAAATAATCACTGGGTGGTAAGAGTGCAGGGTTACATAGCCCCAAAGAGTGCCTGTTGGCTCCCCTTGTATGTGCCTAACATCTGAGGCTACTTTGAGGTGGGATATTACAAAAATAAGTAAAGGCACTTGGAGCTCAGGCTTCATTAAGACTGTCAGCCAAATTGTGGCTTATCCTGGAAGTCCCATTTGATTCCAGATGCCCCTGGATTAGAATCAGATTTAAGAGGGACTTATAGACTCTTGCTCATCTTTTCCTGGGAACCTCTGGAATAAAACCCTGCTAATATTTATTGAAGACCTACTCTATGGCAGGTGGTATGCCTAGGTGCACACATGTAATCACGTGGTTCTGTGAGACTATATGAGACAAGTATTAATGTCTACATGTTCTAGAAGACTAAACTGAAATTCCAAATACATTTTGTTTATCCGTGGTCACATAGCTAGATGAGTGGCAGAGCCAGGACCATGATTTGGTGCTCCTGATTCTGAACTATTTTATTTTATTTTATTTTATTTTATTTTATTTTATT